TCAATTCAGGTTAAACACCAAACTTATTAGCCACAAAGGGTGTAACATATGATAATGTAGATCCCGGATCAATCAGCGGATATACATCATAAGAAAACACAGACAATATACCTGTAACAACATCTGGAGACGACTCAAGATCCTGTCGACCTACTAGAGAATAGGTTCAATTTTGAGCACCACTCGAACTCAGCACTACACATCTACCTCTACTACAATCTGTTGACTACTGAAAATGCCGTGCTGGAGGTCGAACTAATGAGGAATAACCAGACACAGATCTAGTCGGCTGATCCATACCACCACCTCCTCTATTAGGACAATCTCGTATTATATGTCCAGGCTCTCCGCAAGAATAGAATGCATTAGAACCTCGATGGCACAGTCCCAAGTGGGCCTTGCCACACTGATCACAACGTGGTGTTGGGGGTCACACCTGACTAGTATCCCTGTGATGTTGCGAGCCTGATGCCCGTGAACTCTGACCTGGACAAGAATAGGTAAATCGATCATATCGAGGCCTCTGAAACTATGGAGGAGCACTAGCTATAGGAGGCGCCGAAGTCCTCAAAGACTGGGGCCTGACGCTGCCTCTGAAGTAATCAGAATACCCTGTAAATCTTGCCCTCTTATGCTGGGCCCTATCTTGATCCCTATCTGCCCTCTACTGGCGCTTACGATCCTCTAGGGTATGTACATAAGCCTGAATATGAGAATATACATGCCCTTCACCAAGGAGGCTGTCGTGCACTCATTTATCAGATGTGGTCCCAACCCGTTCACGAATAGATGCACCCTATCACTCATCTCGGCCACCATATGGGGAGCATACTTTTCTAAAGAATCAAACTGCATACTGTACTCTCGCACACTCATATTACCTTGTCTAAGGTTCAAGAACTTATCAGCTCTAGCTCGTCGTATCTCAATTGGCAAGTAGTGACGAAGAAAGGCCTCAGAAAGTTCCTTCCACACAGCTGGAGGAGCGTTCGGACCCCTGGATCTCTCGCAACTATCATACAAGAGAACCACTAAATCCTATAGCCGATAAGAGCCAACTCTACCTCCTCTGTATCACTAGCATGCATAACCCGCAGTGTACGATGAACCTAATCAATAAAAGTCTGCAGTTCCTCCTTGGGGTCTGATCCGGTAAACACTGGAGGGTCTAGATTAATAAAATCATGAACTCTCGTACTAACCAGTTTATCAACAACGCCAATATTCTACCTCTGAGCCTGAGCAACTACCAAGCTAGTCAACAAGTGCACCACATTCTGCATATCCTGGTCTGTAGTTCTATATGGAGGAACATGTGGTGCTGGGTGCCTCCTAATTTCCTTTGGAGGAGACGAAATAGATGAGGTATGAGACGGAATCTAACTGTGAGCCTCACTTTGGCCTACTCTGGCTTGGGGCACCTGACTGGTACCCTCTCCCACGACTGTATCAAGCCGTCTACTAATTGTTTGCTTCCTAGTCGAAGGCATCACTGAAAGAAAACAAGAAGAATATTAGAGACAAACACTCATGACTCAACTCTACGCACGATCTAGATTTAGGAAGAAGGTAACAACCCTAGATGTCATGTAGCCTCCTAATTATAAATGTGGTGCGCTACACATCCATAATCAAGACTCTAATAGACACGACTCATAGACAATCCCTAGGACATACTAGCTCTGATACTAAGTTTGTCACGACCCAAACTGGAAGGCCATGACTAGCACCCGGCCATACTTGCCGAGCACCAACGTACATTTTATCTAACCTTCTTTATTATCTTTTAGGGTTGATGAGATCAAAATAAATGGTAGACATGGATCATGGACAACCAACAATAAAATATGATGGCATTAACATACATAACATGGGATGACCAGACAATCAAGAAACTATATATAAGGTATGAGCTACCACGCTGCCATGAAAAACTATACAACAAAAATTAAGCCGACAAGGCATACAAAACTATACATGAGTCGACACATGACTATGAGCCTCTAAAGGAACATAAGTGCTACAACATAGCTGGAACAGGGCCCCGATATACCCATAATGTCTATAACAAAATGCATACCAAGACCACGGCAAGTCCGAAGAAGGGGTCTCGCCAATCACCGCTAAACTGGACAACCTACTGTGGTGGGGGAGCTGCACCTGCCTGTCTATCAGGACCTGCAGCACGACATGCAGCGTCCACAAATAAAAGGACGTCAGTACGAATAAAGTACTGAGTATGTAAGGCAGGGAACCATAAGTACGAATAGTAATGTACGCAGGGATAAAGAATATACAACTTGTAACATCTGCGTACCTTTGAGGGCTACTGACATGAAATGCATGATACATATGTATATATACATAAACTTTTAAAACATACGCCTCTGTGTGCATCATAATCATCATCATATCATACTCGGCCGTAATAGGCTCGGTAAAAAACCCGTACCCGACCATCATAAGGCTTGGTAGTATTGTACCCAGCCACGTGGAGCTCGGTAAAACCCAACTGATTAGTGGTTGCACAATAGGTACCATACACGGACGACTATAGCGTGGCTCGGTAGAGTAAAATAGATACATATATATAATTCATGCTCGACTCATGGAATCACGTTCTAAACATTTTGGAGTGACGTAAGGTCGGTATCATATGTACACGTTATTAGGACTAACTCTTCACTATGAACCTTATAAGAATCAGGAAGTACCAACAACATTGATAACATAAGAATAAGAGAAGCAACATTAACATAAATCGTTCCATAAGAGGGGAAGCAATGTAAGTACTGTGATAAGTGCATTTTACCAAATATTAACTGCATAATTTCTCTCATAAAACTATATAAATTATCATGTTTCCTCCATATTCTTAACTTTATTTTGCAGCAATAATTATAGCAGAATTATTGTGCGGAACATGAAAAAAGAAAAATAAATATTCAAGAAAAATACAACAAAGAAGTGTAAGATCGAGCTATGATTCATTATTGTTGTGACAATGCACCAAGTCTCGATTTGCCATGATGAAATCGATGAAATCTAAACTTAGAATTGCAGAATTCTCATCTCTGCAAATTCAAAATCTAGACTTGCCATTGAAATCTAGCACCAAATCTAGAATTCGAATTCTCATATCTGTAAATGCAAAATCTAGATTTGCCATGGAAATCTAGCACCAAATTGAGAAGTCATCATGAAATTTTCTTATATAAGAAGATGTTGCCGATCAGAAGAAGGGGGGGGGTGGGGGAGAAAGCTTAGAGTTAGAAATCGGAACCCAAATTCCTAATAAGTTTCTCTGTTTTATTTCTTTCACTAATATCGAGTTATCTTTTCTTTTAAATCACAATAGTTGTTTAGTTGTTATTTCTAAATAAATTCCAGCGTACGAAATTACTCTAGTTCCTGCTTTTAATTAAATAGGGGGAATTATTCTTCTTGAATATTTCTTTCTATTTTCTTATTTAATGGACAAGAATATTTCCTTTGTTAGTACTAGTTCCAGTATGGAGTAACTTTTCTTGTGTTGGGAGAAAGATGGATCTTAATATTTCTATATAATAGTATATATTATTCCTTAAATTCATATGCTTGAGCTAGAATTTATTTAACTTTTATCTGCATTTACAGTTAGACGTTATTTAATTTATTAACATCTATCTATCTTGTACTACATATTAACTGTTTATTAACTCTGTAATCGAGAGAGGCGGAAGAAATAATATAGTTAAATGTAGTATTGATAAATGTTAATATTTTATTCAGTAACATCTATCTTTTTTATGTTATAATTAATTTTACACTTATTTGTAATCAAGATAGGCGAATGGTGTAATAATCAGTTATAACAAGTAGGGTAACCGAAAAGGACGTACTATCAAGAGCATGTTTTAGTTCAATCATATATTTCTGGTTCTTTAGTATTACCATTTTGAAGATTAATTTGTATAACCGAGAGGAGTGCAATTAATTATTCAACTTGAGTAATAATAATAATTTGTAATCGTGAGAGGCATTTATACCTTTTTGAGAAATAGAAATTGAAGAATAATAATTCTACTATATAATAGAAATATTAAGTGAAGTCAAGATCCCAACACCTTTTATTATATTTGTGAAAAACAAAATATTTTCTATTGCTCTATTCATGCATTTTTAGTTAGTTAATTTACAACTTAACTCTTTCTGATTTTCTCAAATAGTAATTAAAACAAGAAACGTCCGTAGAATAGATAAACCAATCTCTGTGGGTTCGACATCTTTCTATACTATAATTTGACAAAGTACGAGTTTAATTTATTCACACGCCAGACACTCGTCAATTTTTTGGCACCGTTGCCGGGGATTGGCTAAAGTCTACTACAGATTAATTGTTTTACTACTAATTTGATATTTTTTTATTTAATTATTTTAACTTTTCTGCAGAAATTTCAGAAAGTGTATGACCCGTTCCTCTTCTTGAGAACTAGTCAAATACGATCCTAAAATTGAGAAATCCTTGCAGTTGTTGCGAAAAGAACAAACCTCACGATCTCAAATTTTCACATCAGAGGAAATGGAGAACGAAAAACTCAATAACCAACTTCCGCCACATTAAGTAGAAGAACAGTTTGATGAGGTAGCTCCATGATGTGACAGAATATGCAAGGCCAGATCATTTTGAAGGAGAATCAAGTGTGAGGAGACCACCAATTGCAGCAAACAACTTTGAAATCTGGCACAGGCTGATTCAAACCATTCAACAGTCATGTCAGTTTACTGGTGATGCGAGTTAAGATCCTCACACCCATTTAATTGATTTTCTTGAATTGGTTGAAACTTGCAGGTATAATGGAGTCACAACAAATGCTATTAGGTTGTGGCTTTTTCCTTTTTCATTAAAAGATTAATCCAAAACATGGTTGCGAAGTCTACCAAGAGGTTCCATTACAACATGGGACCAAATGACCCAAAAATTTCTTAATAAATATTTTTCACCTGCAAAAACATTTAAAATGAAGCAAGAAATCAATAATTTTATGCAGACAGATTCTGAATCTGTATACCAGGCATGGGAAAGATTAGCAGCAATGTTAAGAAAATGCCCACATCATGGTATCCAAGACCCTGACATTTTATATATTTTCAATCACGGTCTTAAACCCTCGGCTAGAAATGTAATTGATGCAGCATTAGGAGGATCAATAATGGAAAAAACTAATGTAGAAGCAATGCAATTGCTTAACGAGATTTCGGAAAATGCTATTCAATGGCCCTCAGATAGAACGATTATCAAGAAAACAACAAGATTAAATCAAGTTGAAGCTTTGAATTCATTGACACAACAAATTGCGACCTTAACACAAAAAGTTGAGGCTTTTCAGGTAGGTGCTCACTCATCATCCCAACTTGAGAATTGTGATGTTTGTCAAGGTAATCATCCGAATCATGAATGTCAAGCTTTAACACAAAACGAGGAACAGGTAAATATGATTGGTTATAGAAATAATTACTCATTTGGTCGTCCCATGACACAAAAACATCCAGAATTTCAATGGAGTAATCCTAATGGTGCTGAAAATCCTCAAAGTTTTTTTAATCAAAAGCAGCAGGTACAGGGACTGCCTGATTTTCAAAATCAAAATAGAGGGCAACAAAGTGTTCAACAATATCAATAGCAGCCTCAAAGAGCTCATCAACAAAGCCTTGAAGACCTGATGTACAAATTCATTAAAGCTACTGACGAGAAAGTTGAAAGTCAACATTCAACTATCAAGAATTTGGAAATTCAGGTAAGCCAATTAGCAACCCTCATGTCTGGACAAATTCAAGGTGCTCTACCAAGCAAGACTGAGAAAAACCCCAAAAGAACCCCTCAAAGCCATCTCTCTACGATCATGTAAATCTCTTGATGATCCATATGCAGATAGAGAAGGAAAGCCACAAGAAGTAGAAAAGGTAAATGAAGGTGAGAATAAAATAAAATTTAAGTTTCCAAAAGAACAAAAGGATAAAAGGAAAAATGTACTAGAAAATGAATTGATAATAAATCCTCACTCTGTACCTCTCCCTTTTCCCCAAAAGATGAAAAGAGAAAAGCTTGACAAACAGTTTTCAAAGTTTCTAGATATTTTGAAGCAACTTTACATTAACATACCTTTCATAGATGCTTTGAAACAAATGCCTTCATATGCTAAATTTCTTAAAGAAATTCTATCAAGTAAAAGAAAATTGGAAGAAGTTTCAGTGGATAAGCTTATGCAAAAATGTAGTGCTATACTTCAAAATAAGCTCCCGCAGAAACTTGGTGATCCAGAAACTTTTGCAATTCCTTGTACCGTGGGAGGTACTCACTTTGAAAAGGCGTTATGTGATTCAGATGCTTCAATAAATCTAATGCCTTTTTTAATTTTCAAGAAATTAGAACTTGGTGAAATGAAAGATACTGGAGTGTCTCTTCAATTAGCTGATCAAAGTACTAAGAGACCAAAAGGAATTGTTGAAAATATCCTTGTCAGAGTTGACAAATTTGTATTTCCAGTAGATTTCCAGTAGACCATTTCTCGCAACAGGGAGAGCAATTATTGATGTTTATCAAGGACAACTAATATTGCGAGTTGATGAGGAAAGAGTAATTTTTGACATGCAAAAAATGATGAAATTTCATGGGGATGAGTCATCATCATCTTGTTTTCAAATTGACTTACTAGATGACCTTGTAAACGAATACAAAGATAATCAGTTAATTACTGGTTCATTGGAGAGATATTTGGCTAGGTCAAGTACCATAAGTGATGATAACACCGTAATTAAAGAACAAGCTGAAATTCTAGAAAAAGTCAGAAAATGAGAAAGTCTCACAAGAAGGAGTTCAATTAAAATTTGAACTCAAAGAACTTCCTTTTCATTTAAAATATGTGTTTCTTGAACCTGAATTATTTCCAGTAATTATTTCATCTTCTTTGACTATAGAACAGGAAAGAAAACTGATTGGAGTCCTGATAAAACACAAAACAGCCTTAGGGTGGACTATAGTTGATATCAAAGGAATCAGCCCAGCTATTTGTATGCACAGGATTCTTTTGGAAAAGCTTGTCATTTACCAGTGGAATTAGAACATAAAGCATATTGGGCTATAAAATTTTTGAATCTAAACTTACCAGATGCAGGTAAAAATCGTCTATTGCAGCTTGATGAGTTAGAAGAATTCAGACTCACAACATACGAAAATGCTAAATTGTACAAGGAAAAGACAAAAAAATGGCATGACAAGCTCATCCGCCATAAAGATTTTAAAGTTGGGAATCATGTTCTGTTGTACAATAGCCGATTGATATTATTTCCAGGAAAGTTTAAGTCACGTTGGACAGGACCATACACAGTAACAGAGATTACCCCATATGGTGCCATTGAAATACAACATATAAAT